TTACCCTGTGTTATCTCAAACTGTTGTTCAAGACCTTGCAACAATTCATTTGTTTTTATTATGCTACTCGACGCTATCAAACCATCATCAACGAAAATAGCTAAAATTAATGTTTCATTATTATAATGATTAAAATAAATACATGGATCCGATGCACTTTGTTCTAGTTTGAACTCTAATAGAAATTGCTTAAATCTATTATTCCAACACCTTGGCGATTGTTTCAACCCATACAAACTTTTATTTAGTTTGCATACTCGTTCTGTTGAATCTTCGAATCCAATAGGTTGTCTCATATATATGTCTTCCTCTAGATTACCATATAAAAATGCCGTTTTTATATCAAATTGTTTTAAATCGTAATTTTCTGCTGCTGCAACGGCTAAAATTGTTCTTATTGATTCATACCTTACTACTGGCGAAAACGTTTCTGTATAATCAATACCATATTTTTGTCTTGATCCATTAATGACTAACCTAGCCTTAAAACGATCATTATGTTTTATTTTATAAACCCATGAGTTGTTTATAACATTTGCTCCCACCGGCTTTGATACCAAAGTCCACGTTTCATTATCACCTAATGATTTAATTTCATCGTTCATCGCTTCTACCCAATTAGTTGCGTTATTGCACGAAATGGCTTCTTTGTATGTTAATGGCTCAGTTTCTACATACTTGGTAACGAATGATTGTGCAACATACCTGTCTGGTGGTTTTAATTTTGTTCTATCACGTAGTTGCATATTTGGATGTTCTTGTTGACTTTCTGTGTCGTTTTCCACTGGTTCTGATTTTATCTCATGAACCTGTTGTTGATTTTCATCATACACTACTACTTGTTGATTTATTTCGTTTTTAAAAATAACATCTCTAAAAATACTTATATTAGTTGTACCTGGAAACCATACTCTGTAACCTTTGGTATTATTGCTATAACCAACAAAAATGCCCTTTTTGCTTTTTGCATCCCACTTTTGTCTTTTCTCTTTTGGAATATGAGTGAATACTTCAGTTCCAAATATTCTTAAATGACTTATTTTTGGATCCTTGTTAAAATAAAGCTCATACGGTGTTTTACCTTTAATTGAACTTGTACCAGTTAAATTCAGTGTATACACAACTGTATTAACACTTTCTGCCCATAATGATATATCCAATTGCTTTGAATGTATTATTGTTCTTGCAGCTTCTACTATTGTCCGATTATCTCGTTCAATTTTTCCGTTTTGTTCTGGAGTGTACGGAACTGTTGTCTGATGACTAATTCCGTATTTCTGCAAAATACTAGTTATCTCATTATTAACAAATTCCAAACCGTTGTCAGTTCTTAAAACTTTTACTTTACATCCTGTATCAGTTTTAACTTTTTGTATAACCGTCCCGATTATATTTTTAACCTCATTTTTATGTTTCAGAAAATACACCATCCTATAATGTGTATAATCATCTTTTATTAATAGGAAATACTTTGACCCACCGATTGAATCTTTCTGCATCGGTCCACACAAATCTGCGTGTATTATTTCCCCTACTTTGTCACTACTTGTCGTACTTGGTTTAAACGAAAATTTATGTTGTTTACCCAACATACAAGAATCACAAAAAAATGTATTGTCCTTATCAGAAATCGTAATATTATGGTTTTTTAAACAATTAATTACGTACTGTATATTCTGATGTCCTAACCTTTCATGCCATAATCGCAACGAATCTTTAATCGCAATATTTACATGATGCGTAGTATTATCTAATACTTCGACTTTGAACTGCAATTGAAATAATTTTTCTTTTCTCTCAGCTACACATACAATTTTATTGTTTCTAGTAAATACACATTTATGTTTATCACTAATCATTTTAAGTCCTTTATCTAAAGCTGAACCGCATGAAAATAAATTATATTTTAATTCCGGCACGTGTAACACATTTAATAGATAATTTTTATTCCAATTACCTTTAACATACGACCAAATTAATATTTTACCTGTACCGATTGCGTACATACTTGATCCGTTCCCGATTTTGACTTGAGTCGGATTTTCTAATTTTTCGTAATCTCGAAACCAATCATAATTTGCACACATATGATCTGATGCACCTGAGTCCAATATCCATTGTTCATCATCTTTGATTGATACCAATGTCGACTCACTTATAAATGCGTTGTCGTCTTTATCCGACGATTGTCCTTGATTTTTAAGAAAACTCCTGCATTCCCTCTTGATATGCCCAACTTTTCCACAGTAAAAACATGGACCTATTTTTTTAGTATTACTTGAACTACTAAAATTGTTTTTACCTTTTTTCTGACTACCATTTTTCCAGCTCGACTTATTTTGAGATTTTGTAGTAAATGCACTAGATTTTTCAACATCAATATTACACTTATTGCTTTGTTGTACCAAACGTGATTCTTCCAATAACAAACGACTTGTTAAGTTATTAATCGTTTTATTCTCTGATTGCATTGAATCCCATGCGCTGTAAAAATGCTGATAGCTATTTGGTAGAGTCATTAGAATTTTTGTTATTAACATGTTATCTGTTATATTTTCACCTGCTAATCTTAAATCATTAGTTAATTTTTCTAGTTTAGAAATATGTGCTGAAATGTTATCTGTGGGATCCTTTACGTAACCAAAAAATTTTTGTTGTAATAAATACATATTCGCCTCAGATTTTTGTTCGTAGACACTTAATAATTTTTCCCACATTTCATATGCACTTCCACAATTAATTAAATATTGCATTGGACCACTTTCTACCGAAGTTACTATTACCTTTTGACACTTACTGTCTGCTTTTGTCCAAGCGATTAATTGATTTTTATACCGGCTTCTTGCCTCTTCATCGGATTCCTTGTCCGAAAGTTTAGTTATCTTGGAACTTGGTCTCGTCCAGTCCCCTGTAATCAAACTACCTAACTCAAACGAGTTAATTACTATTTTCATCTGGAACTTCCACAATGGCCATTCTTCTGCGTTCGCCAACTTTGACACCTTGACCGAATCCTCCATGACTTGATCAAATATATGAACTGCAAAAATGTACCTTAGTCTATTTGTTCCCTGTTAGAACCTGTCAAATTCTAATGTTGAATTTTTCTTTTGTTGTCCTGTAATCATCAATGACGATGATCTAGTGATCTAGTGATCTGGGCCCATAACCTGTTGAAAGGAGGTTATAATATGGATCGACAAAAGATAAAATATACAACACAATTTAGTTATAGTAAGAATACGTAATATTTCACTAAAACTAAAACACATAACTAAGTATGAAAAGTAATTTGACTTCCAACAATGTAAGTACTATGTTTACGAGATATACATGACATACACATAAGTAATACCTAAAATGCAGTGCCTACAGTACACAACTAAACAATCTTATATACTAATGATCTACTGACCCCTGGCTCACGCCACTTTACAAGCTTGCTTATTGGCTAATACAATATCACGCCATATGTGGTGTGATTTATCAGATTCTAATAACAGCTATATTTTGTTATACACAATATGATTATACTACTAATACAATATTAAATTATATTCAACAATAATAATAGCAAGTTATTATATTGCATATTCACAGAAAATATTATATAACTATATTATTATAGACAGACATTTTTAGGGGTAACCGCGTCATTAATAAAAGAAAAATATAACAATTTACTCAGTAAACGCTATACTTAATTCAATACGCTATACCTAATCATTATTAATATTATTACTTATTATATTTATATTTATTCATAGAATTACAGCGATAACTTGGCCCGCTGGTGTAAATAATAGTATAATACCCGTTGTAGCGTGGGGTAGTTCATCGTATTTACGTATTTCTAAATTCTTACTATTAATTGCATAATATTTGATATTATATTATATTCTAATAAATAATAATGAATTTGATTATTATAATATTTAGTTTAGTTGTGGACCATTTACGTTAACAAATACATAACAATAGTTTAATTATTTTATTGGATTACATCATTGAGTAAAGTATAATATACAAATATAAGTACCTACAGTAACTTATTTTATTACAAACATTTATTTGAAAATTGTAAGACATTTATTGATTTATTGAATCATTATGTTATTTGTTGGCTTTAAAAAAGGTAGGTTGGTGTAATTGTTAATTATATTAAAAAAAAAAGTTATTTTTAACTAAGTTAAGTTACTTTTATTTTCTAATTAACTTGTAACTTTTACAAGTTAAAAAAAATAAACTTAACTTACATTTGTCTATATTAACTTAACTTAACGAGTTAAAAAAAATAGTTAACTTGCCCAGCCTTGACAAAATGTATGGACTGAATCATAATTTGACGCAATGAAATAATATGTTTATGATGAATTCTTCTATGATAATATTCAAGAACTCGTTAGGTGGTTAATTTTATATTAGATTCTGATCGATTCTATAAATGTAGTTATTTTACAATATTATGTGTGTTTCTGTGTATACGATAACTATAAATAATGTTTCAGTATCTTTTCTGGTGGAAAAGCGGACCTAGTTGGTACTTTTGAGAGGTCAAAGTTAAAAATTTCCAGTAGTTTTCAAAAGCGTTGGGAAAAAAATAAGAAAAAAACTCTTTTTACATGCTTTTCTTTAACTCACAATGTTTCATTCCTGTTGTCTTCAAATCTTGCGCGCTCGATTTGAGGCACTTATTTACGATGAAAAATTCTGAAAATTGGTATAGACATAGGTCTTGGAAGGCAATACAATAATCCGTTGTTATTTTGGGACCCGGACTTCCAGGTCGGCGATGACGGGTGTGCAAAGTCATCTCCGAGGAAGAAGAATAAATAATATACAGGTACGAAATTTTGTTTATAAACGGTTTCCATGGGTTATAAAACTATTATAATAATAATTACTTTTAACTTTTAACGCGTTCCATTGTTAAAACAGTAAGAAAATCCTACATAGAGATTGACAAAGCGTATAGATAATAAAATACTAAAATAATAATAATGTATAAAGAGCCCGCAACTCAACGAAAAAGGCGCCTTGAACGAGCTCGTATAAAGTATCAAGAAAAGAAGGCCAACGAGGGCTCAGAAGCTAAACGGGCAAGATTAGATAAAAATCGCCAAGCCAAAAAAAAATTAAGAGCTGAAGAAACGCCATCAATGAAAAATAAACGCCTTCTACAACAACGCGAAAACAGGATTAAACAACGGGACAAAGAAACTCCAGAAAGCGGAGAAGCCCGGAGGCAGGCGGAACATGAACGATATTTACAACGCGCCGCTGCAGAAAATCCAGAAAGAAGAGAATCCCGGAAGCAAGCAGACCATGAACGGTATCTACAACGTTGTGCAGCACAGACTAACCAAGATCGAGGAGACCATCTGGAAAATATACGCAGACAGTGGCTGGAACGTTCAGCAAGCGAAATAGAGTTTGAAAAAGCAATTAACACATTTTGTGATCAATTTTGTGAAGTTTGTACAAAACGATGCTACCCTAACCAGGTTTCAATATTAAAATTGTCTAATTATAAACCTAATTATTTGCCAATTGAATTACTCCAAAAAAAACAACTATTACTTTGTCATCGCTGCAAAACTCATCTGTCTAGTCGAAAAACTACTGCACCTCCAAAAGCATTTTGGAATAAACTTGATCCTGGCGTTATACCAAATGAAATACACCTTCTTTCACAGGCAGAAAAACGATTACTGTCTATACTCCGGCCCACGAGAGAGTATTACCGTTTTGCGCATGTAGACTGACGGCGGAGACCGTTCCGAGGCCTCATTTAACCCACTATTTCCACGACCGCTATACACCGTTTAGCGTTGAGCGTTGCCGACCGGTACCGAACAGTTGTCGGCACATGCCGAGTAGTGGGGAATGCGCGGAATCGGACGAGTTTTCGTCGGGCGACGGTAATACTCTCTCGTGGGCCGGAGTATAGAATAATACCATTTGTAAAAATTATTAAGTATGATGGCTTATATGGACAGTGAGGTTTCAAAGGCCAGGCAGTTCTTTTTGCACTAGACATTTTTGAATTCAGTGAAAAATTAAAGGAAATGCTGCCAAGGTCAACCCATGAAGCGGGTATTATCGTAGTTACTGAACGTCTGGAAAATCTAAACATTACTAGACAATGGTCAATAAATCGCGAAAAAGTGTTTAAAGCTTTATATTGGCTAATAAAAAATAATCCACTATACAAATGCGTTCAAGTTAATCACAATGTAGAGCTTAACGAGGAAGACTTGATAAGAATAACCCAAACAACAAAAAATATAGGAGTTAATCAGCCGCAGGAAAAAGCATACAAATATATAAATGAATTATCAAGAATTTTAAGAGCATCTTGGCATCAAAATAGTTCTGAAATATTTAAATCTGACCATGCCCGGGGTTCAGTGTTGTGCTATAGCGCTTTCAAATATTATTAGAGCATCCATTCTTCCTCCGAGTACATGGAACACTCTTACTTTAAATAAGAATTTAATTGAGGGTGATAAATTATATGAATTAATCAAAACCCGCACAGAAGAATCGGAGGATACTTACCCGCTGGGAGACAATGGCTTCTTGCTGATAAAAAATTTTAAAATAATTAAAAACAACTTCGGTATATTCGAGCAACTTTTTTCAATTGAATTCAATGACGATCCTCAATTTTTTGGAAATATTAATGATAATATAAGTCGACAAAGTAATGTCTCTACCCTTACCCTCAGTTCAAAAAGATGGCAGAATTGTTGAAATGCCGTTGCTAACGGGAAATTGGCTTAAAGTTATGAGACAACAATGGAAAGATACAGAGTTTTTTTTATAGATGAAATTTCAATGGTGCCATACGAAATGTTATGTATGATTGACTCACGCTTGAAACAACTAAAAAAATAATGAAGATTTTTTCGGAGGAATAAATATTTTGGTATTTGGAGACTTAATGCAGTTGCCTCCAGTTAGAGCTTCTCAAGTTTTTCAACAACCTGAACGTATGATTCCAGCTACACATCTTTGGCGATTATTTTCGCTTGTCGAATTGACAGAAAATATGAGACAACAAGGAGATAAAACATTCATTGATATATTAAATGCATTGAGAGTTGGAGATCTGATGCAAAGCCAAATTGAAATATTGATAAACAAACAAAGCACTGACATGGATGGAGAATAATGAAGAATAAAGAAGAAAATAATGAAGAACACCATGTAATATTGACGCCCTTGAAGAAATGGAAAGAATGCGGGAACTGAGATATTTAAAATATAATATTACATAGTTGCTTATAATATTCAAATGTACCGAAAATAATAAATATTATGCTTTCAAAAAATCGTTTGTTTCTAATTTATAGTTATCACTAAAAAATAGAAAATAAAATAAATAAAAAAATAATTTTTAAAAACATGCTTTTCTTAATACTACTTAATAAATGAACGAAAAAGTTTAAAATAAACTTACTTTTAAAACAATTTCTTAATGAAACTTGAAGGTTAACAAGATATTACTAAAAGTGTTTATAAAATGTATTTGTTGAACAATTTTTAAAAATTCTGAATTACAAAAAAAAGAAATGCATGGGGCTCTTATGGGTCAGGAATATCTCTTACAAAATTGTGAGTGTGATCAATAATCTTTAAAATATTTATCATAAAGTTTATATAAAAATTCAGTTGTAGAATGACTTTACGTATGACTTATCATAAGTATATAAGTTATCTATTTTCATAAAAGTGTCCAATAACAACAAAATTCAACCATTTCAGAATAATGCTCTTAGGAAAATTACTAATGCTACAACCTTTGTTTCGAATTACACTAAACATAATGACCTGTCAATTAAAACCGTGGCTCTTATGAGTCAAGAATATCTCTTACAAAATTGGAAGTGTGATCAATAATCTTTAAAATATTTATAATAAAGTTTATCTAAAGATTCAGTTGTAGAGTGCCCTTACGTAGGAGTTATCATAAGTACCCCATGCATTTCAGTTTTTTGTAATTCAGAATTTTTAAAAATTGTTCAACAAATACATTTTATAAACACTTTTAGTAATATCTTGTTAACCTTCAAGTTTCATTAAGAAATTGTTTTAAAAGTAAGTTTATTTTAAACTTTTTCGTTCATTTATTAAGTAGTATTAAGAAAAGCATGTTTTTAAAAATTATTTTTTTATTTATTTTATTGTGCTATTTATATTCATAAGCCATTTTCGATTTTTATTAGTTTTTTTAAAACTATTGTCAATAACAAATGTTTTACTCGATCAAATAACTTGAAAATTGTTATAAAAGTAGTTGTTTAAATATTAAAAATAAAATATAGGCACACATTTTTTAATGAGCATTTAAAGTTCAGATTTTGACAAAAATCACGAACATTTGGTAGTTAAAAATGTGTGTTTATTTTTATAGCCAACCTACTGTATTACCTACTAATAGTAAAATTAATTAATTCAATAGCAATAATATCATAAAATATGATAGTGATATAAAGCCGGGATTAAGTGGGGGGGCAAGGGTCCCGGGGCCCATCTTTATCCCCAAAATATATTATTTTATCTGGTCCAATATAGTTAAAAAAAAAAAAAAAATATTTCAGTAGGTAGGTATAGGTATAGACGTATAGTAGGTAAATTATTATTACTTAATAAATAATAATTATAAAATACAATTGTTCTCAATTAATTATATAAATAATGAACCATGTGTATTTTTTTGAGCATTTTCGATTACTGATTTAACTATTGAAGTATACAGGTAGTTATAAGAAAAAAATATTTAGCTCTTGTAAATTAGGTATTTCAGTTAAAAGTATTAATGCCTATTATACTAAACTTTAGAGGACTATAGTTAATACAATACCGAACTAAAATTGATCATTCGACTGTCAAGATGTTCAGACAAAAACCTTTACCAGAATCCATAAAAAAATATAGTGGTTAGGAATTACCATTTAAAAAAATAAAGTTGATTTTATTATTGGTACAACTAAGTGTTTAAAACGTTGAAAATGTTATAAAAAAAATGCCTGTTAAAAATAAAGAAACACTTCTTTTTTTGTTTTAAAGAAATTCCATAATATCATCGATCCATATTTGTTAAAAAAAAACCCGCGTACTATGACATAAGATACACTCTGTATATTTGTTGTATAGTAAACAATTATACAATAATATAAAGTCGTTAATATGTAATGATACAATTATTTTGAAGTTAAAGTTGAAAGGGGTCCCACTAAGTGTATGGTGTTCTGTGGCCCAATTTATCCTTAATCCGGGCTTGGTGATATAGGCTGACAGAATCGTTTTTCGTATTCAATGGTTTTACATCTTTGAATTTATATTTAACACGTCCATTACAGTGACCCCTCTAAACACCTGCCGTACAGCAGAATGGTACCTACTTGTCCACCTTTTTTAGTTTTAAGTGTCTTAATTATAAAATAAATATTCTTGATTTTAATGGATTTTTGGTTACTATAAGTATAATTCTTATGAGGAACCTTGTATTACATTTTCAATATAATATACATATAACAAACCTATAAATAAAAATGTTGGTTGTTCTTCGTTCGATTGAATGTCAAACGATTGGATAAAATGTTGAATAAACAATTACGTAAATACCTATTCAATATTTGAATATTCAAAACCTTGAACTTTGAAAATTTTTTTTTTGATTTCTCCAATGCTTTTTTAGTGTAATATTGTTTCACTTAGCTTTGTAGTTATGTTAACTATCGGGGTTGACCTTGTGATTATAATTGGTTTTTTTTTATTTAATATATTTCCGTGATGTGTACAGACTTAATAATTGGCCGTGTGGGGCTCGTTGCAGATTACCCATTTAGTCGGGGCTGTGAGTTTTTTGGGACCGTTTGAAAGGTGAATTTTCATCACATTTTATGTAGCACGAGTTTAATTTGCATGATTTGTGAATGTGTCTATATTTTAAGCAATTGTTGCATTGTGGTAGATGGTTAGATGGATAGGATCAGTAGATAGTAAATATTTAGTTTAATAACATTTTAAGTTAAAAATTTCATTACATTTTTCTAATTTAGTAAGGTTTATAAGTAGTAACTAGGGGAATTTATTTGTATCTATTAATCTTGTAAATTACTTTATTGGATAATTTAGGTTTTCAGTTTTCATAGTTTTCCGATTCAGTGATTGACATATTTATGATGGGTGATAGTTCTTTTCACTTGTAAGTCTGTTTGTGAAGTATATTCATATCTTTTTCAAGATATTTCGTATTTTCATAAAATTGTTTCTACATTTACCTATTTTGATTTTATTGTTGTTATCTATTGAACTAAAGATGTTGTGTAATATAGATAAAATGTTTGTGTTAAGTTTGACATAATTTGTATTTATTACGAAAAATGGTGGACATTTTTTCTTGTTATTTTCTTTGTACATGGCATGTGGTTGGTTATTAGGTTAAGTATGTTCCTTATTAATAAGTGATTTTTCAATGGTCGTATAGCAATTTGGTGTAAAGAAATATATTTTCTCCGTTTGGTGGATTATTGGCTTTTTAGTTTTTTTTTGACAATCTAAATTCGGTATTGGAATTTTGAGTCATGTATAATTTATGTTTAAGTTATCTATTTTATTTTAATAAGGAGTTAAGGACTTGATTTCTTTAAATAGATTATATGTTAAAATATATAGATAGTATTTGTCGCTAATTTTGATAGAGTGTTTATGTGTGTTAAACGACAGAGAGAGGTTTTTTAGTATCGTACCTAATACAGTTAATTATTGTGTTGGTGAACTTTGAACCATTTATAACGTTTGCATGCAATATTAGATAGAAAGATAGAAACTTTGTAATCACAGCGATACTGCTATCAATATAGGTATAAAATCTGAGCACCAAATTAACTTATGGTCTCTGTGGTATCCAAATAGTTTCGTGCAAGCTATATGATACAATAATCCATATTCAATAAACTTATTTACAGTCTCAATTGTTATTACTATGGTAATATTTATTATTTATACTACTTCAATAAGAATATAATGATATTTTAAGTTGATTATATTAACCTCATAACAATTAGGTATACTACTAAAATGTTTTTGTAATTAAAAGTAAGCAATATTAATTTTAATAATTTTCTTTTGTTTCTAGATTAATTTTTAATACTTAGAAAGTAATAGCTATTAGAATATTATGTATTATGTGTATTGAATTTAATTACTGCACACAAATAAAAGAAAAATGTATTTATCGTAATAATGACAAATAAGTACCTACCCATTCTATAACAATAACTACATCAAAAATCAAATTTCGTTATTTTCTTTATTGTTTCTAAATTATAATTTGAAATGCAAATAATATAACTAGTATCAAGTAAAAATTCAGATATTTAAATAAACAAATTATCATAATAATTCTTAAATTTTTTTCACAATATCAAAAAAGTGGTTTATGCTGCGATGCGGATAATTGAATATCTAATAATGAAGCATTAAAATTACTTTCTTTCGATAAACATTTTACTCCTCGAATAAAATACTCTATAGAGCCATAAGTGTAATTCGGTTTTTGGAGTAGACATTAGACAATCACGATCATTAAGAGTATTAACGGACAATATAATATGGTTTGTTTGGGGTCGCACTTGACCTAACGAGTATATATTTTTTCAAGACGCTCTCATCTGTACCTATATACACCCTTAAGGCCTTACATTGCAAATGTCTAGTTCATCACGTTCTAGTCATTGAGTTTCTTTTTTACCCACACCATTATCACATGTAGGTATATGAAATCGTGACATTAATATATCATGTTATATATATATATTATTTTAATATTATTATTATTATTCACTATGGGGAAATGTTTTTGTTGAAACGCCTGAGGGTTCTTTCTACTATTGGTGTACATTATTTACTAATTACAAAGTCTGTATGCAGGGGTTCATATTATTTTTTTTTCCGAAATCTGCAAATCCTTATTTTTATACACTAGAAGGTTCAAGTGACTACTTAACGGGTCTCGTTAGTGTCAGACTTTATAAACAAGAGCATTTCAATGACATGGATTTTGAGTACAGAAAAACATAACAAGGTGACCGTATAAAATTGTAGATACTGTAGAATGTAGATATTAAAGATACCGACAGTGCGATCCGAAACACTGAGTAATCG